TTTATACAAAAACGTGAAATATTCTTGGCAACTATCATCATGATTTTTTAATCAAAATAGTAACCCTTATGTCGTGTCGATGTCTTTCATAAAGGTTCACTGTCATCCTTACATATAATTTTGTTTTGATTCATAAGGTTGTTATATTTTATCTAATATCATATCATATTTCCAATAGTTTGCAAAAAACTGTTTCAATAACTTTTATAGAATAGTCAAATATCATTGATACAAATATAATGTCGATCTTATCTTAATTCTTAATTAATTTAATAATCGAACACACACGCAAACTTAAATGTCAAGTAGTTCTAGATGTCTTTCCGATATTATAGTTTATTAGTAACTTCAATGCTTCGATTAATGAAACAATAGGAACATATATCCACTCCATGCAATATTAATGACATCTTTGTCAACGAACTTTCGAATATTCTTTGAAGCTATAGCTTTTATCTCTTGAAATTTGCAAAAAAATAAAAGAAAGAAAGAAATTCTTAATGAGCATATTTGATGATGAGTTTTTGAAAGCCGTTAGTTTTTCCATTTAACAAAAACACTCGATTAAAAAAAAAACTTTATCTGAGAATACAAATGTTTAAATTTTAATTTAAATAAAAAAATTCAATGTTTCATTGAGCCTTTTTAATCAATTTCTATCTTTTATATATATATATATATATATATATATATATATATATATATATATATATATATTTGTTCTTGTAAACATTTATCTTTTTATATAATTTTATATATTTCAAAAGTTTTGAGTTTATTTTGTCAAATACTTATATGACAAATAAAAGTTATACTCCATGCTTTTTCTTCTTTTAGCTACCGGCTAGATTTGGTCACGTATAGTTCACTAACTTTCAAAATCTTTAATTACTAGGATTCTTTGGTTATTAACTTTTGAAAGTTATTTTTCTAAACATTTAGATAAAAAAATATATATATACATATATTACATCAGTTTCAGATAAAATTTACCAATTCACTTATTTCTATAAAAAAATAACCTAAGTCAATAACTTAGACTCAATCAAAACACAACACCATATCATTAAGATTCATTTAAATAAAGTTTTCCTTTCTTTATAGTATCTCATCTGAAAATTTCATGACTTCTATCTATGTGATACGTCAACCAGCGGTTTCTGGAAGTGGGTTCATTGCTAGAGACATGACGTTTGAGAACACCGCCGGACCCGCAAAACACCAAGCTGTTGCTTTTCGCTCTGGGTCAGACCTATCAGTCCTATACGGATGTGCTTTCAAAGGCTACCAAGACACTCTATACGTATACTCCGGACGACAGTTCTTCCGCAACTGCGATGTATACGGGACACAAGATTTCATATTCGGGAACGCAGCTGCGGTTCTCCAAAGCTGCAATATATACGTACGAAAGCCGATGGGTGGTCAAACGAATACAATCACAGCTCAAGCTCGAACTGATCGAAATGAAAATACTGGGATCATAATACACAACTCGGTTGTCACAGCTGCTTCGGATTTAAAGGGCTCAGGGGGTTCGGTCAAAACGTTTCTTGGTCGACCATGGAAGCAGTACTCAAGAACAGTGTTCATGAAGTGTTCTCTTGATAGTATAATAAACTCCGCCGGTTGGCTGCCGTGGAGCGGTAGTTTTGCTTTGAGTACACTGTACTACGGTGAATATATGAACACTGGGGGTGGTGCCGGAACTGGTGGTAGAGTAAAGTGGCCGGGATATCATGTTATCACGAGCGCAAGTGAGGCAACGCAGTTTACAGTTGGGGATTTCTTGGATGGTGGTTCATGGATTCCGGGGACTGGAATGCCGTATACAGCAGGGTTATGAAGGTGTAAAAAACTACAAATGTTTGATAGGTTAAAGTTAAAAACTGGTTGTGTCATTTTCAAGTTATAGGAAAGTAGGGGAGATAATTGGTGCTTGATGTTTAAGATAAGGACTTGTAATAAATGCCTAAATGGAGGGTGGAAAGTCAATTACTTGTAGTTTGTTTGGTACTAGTTTGTATATTTTGAAAATGGATTATGCTGTAGCATTGAATGTATGAAATCAAAGTACATTTTACTATCAATACAATT